ACCAGAAGCAAAAGGGGAAAAAACACCAAAATGCAGCTAAATAAATCTATTAGATAAAATCAGTATGTGCTATAATGAAGACTTGATTATTTAGTTTAATTATCTTTATCTTAGTTATATTTTGCATTCTCTGAGTTGGCCAGCAGAGGACATGTTCCTTCTTGTCTGGGGGGACGACGTCCTTCTGTCCTGTTCACTCCTAATCCAGCTCATCCTACAGGAAAACAAACAAATTGATTCTCTTCACTTCAAAAAAAAATTTAAAAAAATGAGACAGTTGCTCAAATGTCTAAATGACTCTGCAGTAGCAGCCATTGACATAAATCAGTATCAAGGTTAGGACTGTCTGGACTGAGTCAGAGAAACAATCATCATCTGATTTGCCTTATAAGAGACGTTTGGGTTGTAACACTGCAGTCAGCTCCAGGTCATTTAGCTCTTTCTCCAATTATGCTTAACGCCATTGACTTGCCAGGTTGTGCTTTTTTATATACCCGAGTAAGAGTTAAAGCAAAAAGGATTAACCCTCCATTTGACCTGGCAAGCTTTTTACCATGTGCACCTTCCAGCAGGGTCACTCTGACCCCAGGTGCAGTTTTACAAGGTTTGTTTTTTTTGTGTATGTTTTGTGAAATGACGGTCTGACGGAACAATACCAATGGTGACATATTATGGTCAGCTGATGGACACATAAGGAATCTGGGATCAGATTTCTTCTTTTAATCATCAAAACTCCTGTTTCTACTTTCTACATGCTAACAACTTTGTTATTTTAAGTTACAGATGAAGAAACCTTACATTACTTTTTCTGAACTCTGAGTTGCAGTGGGGAAATGATGAGTCTGCTTAATCAAAGAGAGTAAGGAAAGACAGTTTTGTTGTTCTAAACCATGTTCTACCTCTCAGGTCCCGTCTATTTCTTGTTACTTTGCGGTGGTTTCTTTTGATCGTTGCCTTTTTCTGGTTGGCTTTGGGGACTACTTGAAGCGTTGGGACTGCAATCAAATATGACAAGAGTTGTTAACTTTAATACAAAACAACTGATTCTGATGTAAGCTTGATTTCTCCAATATTACCTTCCAGTTGGTTTCCTCTCTGGTGATTTAGGTCTCTACATGGAGACAAGTCAAAGGCTTTGAATCACACAATTATGTAAAAACATACAGATGTTTAAAATGTTCTGATGCTGCTTATTTACCTACAAGTGTTAAAATGAAAGCAACAATTTATCAAAGATTTTGTAAAAAATACAATTAAATTAAAATGACAGGATGTTTTAATTACACTTAATTGTAAAATGCAATATTTTTTGTGAAACATTTTAAATTTAATGTAAAATGTTGCATAGTTATGTATCATCATAAGATTGAGTTATTATATATATATAAAACTCTATTATTCTGCATAGCCTTTTACATGAAAACTATGTCCAATATTTCAGCAGTAAAATTTCTACCGGGTTTGGAGTCGGTGTGGACCCATCAGGGCCCCCTGGGCCTCCAGAACCTGAAAACATCAGAATCAATTTCACATTTCTAAAATATAACAAAGCTTTTACTGAAACTTAGGATTATTTCAATAGAAAAATTGAACATAAGTCTGACAGGAGATCCATTCAGAAAACACTTTTAAGATTAGATCTAGATATTTTTACTCCCCAGTTTGTAATGGAAGGACAATGAGGCAGAAAGATATTTACTGATCCAATGCTGAGGTTTTCTCATGACTCCATAGTTTTAACAGATCTGGACTCAGTAATACTGTTATAATTAAAATATTAGAAATAACAAATTTGAATAGTCAAGAATAAAATTATTTGAACACAACTATGCATAAAACTCAAAAGGAAATGATTAAAAGTAAAGAAAAAATTGACATAAATTCGAAATCAATCCAAAATCAAGTTAAATAATATAAGAAATAAAAATCTAATTAATTAAATGACTGCTTCAAACCATGATAAAAATGAAATCAGAACATATTAGAAGAACTCAAATAGATTCTACATTATATTTTACTTTAAATATTTTTCCACACTGAACTATATTTCAAGGCTTCAGTTACTAAGTTACAAAAGAAATGCCTTTTGTGATTGAAACCTCTGTTTTGCTTGTTCCTTAAGCAAAACAGAGGTTTGCTTAAGGATATTGCTATTTTCCTTAGCAATATCAAACAAGATGTGCGGCCTCAGGCATAAAGCGTGCACACAAAAAATGTGCAGCGCCATATTTTATGCAAAAGTCAGCATGTATAAAAATTATCAGTGTGCGTAAGTGTACGCACACTTTTTTTTCTGGCATGAAAATGTGTGGCAGCCACGCAAACTTTTTCTGTGGACAATATCAAACCACAAAGCGTCAAAACTCACCTAAATACACTGAAATCTGACGACATTCAGTTGTTTAGACCAGAAGGAATCAATTACATGATGAGTTTTTCATTATTTCAGTATTTTATTGTTTAAATTTAAACAATGAAACTGAACCGCATTTATTCCCAGACAATAAGCTAACACGCACACAAAATAAAGAAAATAAAAATAAAACGATGTGACCTCACTCCAATGTAAATAGTTATTTTCCTCAGTTTATGTTGTCTCATGAAGATCTAACGCATTGGTCTGTGACAAACTGAACGCTGCCAGGAGGCTGAGACCAGCACGTCCTCTGACTCCTTATCAAAACGTTTGTAACTTTATTAAAGAACAACAACAAAAAAAATCATCAAAACGTTTTCAAATTAATGACCCGACAACAACAATAATCTCAGTGATTATAGTTTCAACAAGGTGTTGCTCAATTCTGTGCGTTTCGGTTCCATTACCAAAATAACGAGCAGAGCAGGAGTTTTGTCTTTGACTAATATTTTGATTTGTTTGATATTCTGAAACACTTCCTCTTTTTGCATGTTTATCACATGTAAATCAGGAAAATAGCAACATCATTTTCACACCACTGTACATCCAATTTTGCATTTAATCGTACATTCCTGAAAACATAGTAAATCAACATTTTGAGCATTTACACAATGGAAATCTGCAGAGTTTTTGGATAACTGGTTCTGGTTATTAAAAATAAAATGTAATTTTCATCATGTTCTCAGTGCTCCAGCAGTTTATAGTTGATCACGAGAAAACTTTAAGAGGCTTGAATATTATGCAGGAATCTCTGCTTCTGTCAAACACATTTGATTATCAATGAGATAAACGGCCATCTCTTACCTTGGATTTATACTCTGCAGTCCTAGTTTCAAATGAGAACTCAGTCTTTCCAGTGTCCCCAAAGTTGATCTCGGTGCTGTCAACAGCATCATGAGGCTTAATGTATGCTGTTGTCTTCCAGTGCTCTATTTCCTGGAGATGCAGAACAATGATGCAGTAAAAGGTACAGGGACGTAAATGTTTTTATTAATGTTAACAATAAAACTTTGGAAGCCAGACATCCCTCCTTGCTTTTAACAACTGGGCTTTAAAAAGTTTAAACTCACTGCAGTTGAGCTGCTCTGTAGTTGATTAGTTGTTAGCTTTGCTGCCTTGCAGCAACAAGCTCTTATCCCAGTCATGGACCTTTTTGCATGGAGTTTTCATGTTCTGTCTAAGCATGTATGAGTTCTCTAGAAACTCCCGCCAAAGATATACATGTTGGGCTCCCTGGTATGGATTAGACTTCTAAGAGTTTTAAACATCACAAAGAGAGTCATAAAACCAATTCTAACAGTCAGTGTTTGGATGAACATCTCAGACATTACTGGTGTAATTTTATATTTTCTGACGAAAACTTGCTGACAGATGTGCTTATCCTCTAACATTACAAATATACTGTTTTAAAATGTTCGTGAAAACCAGAGAGCTGTATATTTAGTATTAGCCATATATGTATAACAAATCACCTTTGCTTGAATGAAAAAACGTGCTGAACTATTGTGCTGATGTCTCATCTTTTTAACATTTTTGAGATTAGAGTGCAGTAGTTGTGTTGGGTTTAGGGGAGAACCACTACTGACAGATGGAAACTAAATTATTTTTTATTTGAATCTGATAGAAATTTAGTCAAGAGGTCTTTGTATTTCTATCAGCTGCATGACTCACATCACATCTAACTTGACTTGCTGCATTCAAGCTGAACTTGTGTTGGAACTGAAAACGAACAGAATTTCTGCTACGCATATGATAAAATACAAATGAACATTTATAGGAATATAGTGTAAATTATGTTCCAAATAGGTGAATTTACCCGTAACTATTTTAAATCTCCTCCAATCTGCCAGTCGTCAGCCTGAAGAAAGAAGAAAGAGTAAAGGGGAAAACAAGAAAGAATAAATACCTTGTCTCTGTTGATCTTCAGAATACTTATATCGTTATTCAATTTTGTGATATCATTCTCCAGTGTTAGGATTGTTTTAGAGTGACGTTCATTCTCCTGTAACAATACACAAAGACAATATTAGTTGTTCGGATTCATTTTTGTGTAAGAACTGATCAGGTCCAATCCCCAGCCATTCCTTATTCTGAAGACATCATTACTGTAGAACCTCTAGAAAGCGGTCTGTGTTTCTATATAGGCATGAAGGTCTCTTGATATGTCTGCCTTCAGGCACCAGCAGGTGACTTCTCAATTCCTCTACAAGAAGGGAACTTCTCTTATTATTGGATTTTTGGACTATTGACTCAAAGTTCCATTATTGGGGCTGGATTATGTGTTTTAAATTAAGTGTATTTGTAAACTGCCTTTCTTCTGCTTGCTTAATGTTTTGGCTGATTATTTTCTGTAATATTTTTATGTTATGTTGTTCTGCCATTTTAGGTCTTCAACATGTTAGATTGTCTCAGTTCAGAACAGTTGAGTTCAGCGCTGCTAGTATTCATTGGTTCTCTCTCAACCAATCTTTTTTTCCATTTCTCCCTCCTGTTTTCTTATCACCTTTTTTTATTTTATAAATTTATTTATAATTTTTCAGAATTAAACAGCCAATACAGAAGAAAAAAAACAACAAAAAGTAAACAAATACAACAAAAACAAAAATCAACAAGACAAAACACTCAAAACAGTGTCAGCTTACTGAAGAACTGATAAAAGAGGATAAAATATGTGCACATCAGTCCGTAGAGCGTAATCAAGCATGAGAGAGAGTTAAAGGGAACAACAGACATTTCTGGAGACATTGTATCAGTTCATGATAAAACACGGGATATTAATAAAAGATAAAAGCAATAAATTAATGACAGTAATGTTAGGGCCCCTGGCCTCTTGAGGCTGTGCAGGCTCCCTTTTGTTATGCAGGTTCAGCTGTGAGAAAACATCTCCCTGATTGGCTGCCTGAAGGCTGCAGGAAAGCAGCTACACCATTGGACCAGCAGAGGATTGTCAAGCCAATCAGATGTTGATGAGGCCCACCTGCACCATATAAAAGGCTCCTGAATCCATTCTTCCAGTGGAGCAGCTAGTTGGAAGAGGTTTTGTGACGCTGTCCCCCTTGTTTAGTATTTGCAACTGTTTTAGCTAGTTTGTTTTGAACCATTTTGTGCCTGTTTGTTCTGCTGAGTAGCTTGACTGCTTCAGATTGATTTGCCAAGCTAGAAGCTTGTTTGGGAGGCTTGGTGCTCCCTTTGTGGGGGTGTTTTTTTTTTTTTTTTTTTCCCTTTCTCCGCTTTTGGGTTTATTTTGAGCTTAATTTGAACTGACTTGTTTGGACTTTTGTAACTTTAATTTGCTCCTGACATTCTTGAGTTTGTTAATCCCTTTTGTTTTGCATTAATTGGGTTAAATTGTATTGTTTTGTGAAACTTTATTTTGTAATAAATCATTTTTACTTTACACTTTTGCTCTGGACACATTTTATGTTGCTGCCCCTGGAGCCCTTGACCTCGGGGGCGTAAGAGTAATAACAAAGAAGAAGGTCCAGATGAGTACGACAGTTTTAGCCCATCATTTTATATGCATCTATTAAAAGGACCCCACGAATCAAGGAACTTATGATTGTCTGACAAAGAGTATCAAATGTCTTCAAGAAAGATACAGGACACCATATCATTAAGCCATTTCTTAAAACAAGGAGGGGTGGAGGATGTCCATTCCCACAAATTAAACCGCTTTACAACCACTAAGCCAAACATTGGAGCGCACAGCAGAGACAAGGGAAGAATAAGAATTTCGAGCAACCCAAAATTATCAAATGTTTATCTGGAGATAGAAGCCTGCCTTATGGTGTTACTACAGAATTTAAATATCCTGCACCAGAAGTCCATAAGTTTAGGGCAGGAGGAAAACAATGACCCAAAATCCCATCATCTGATTTACATTTGTCACATGTTGGTGAGACACAGGGAAATAGCTTATTAAGTTTGGTTTTAGAAAAGTGCAGACGATGGAATCAAGGAAAGAGGGAGGAGCTTCCACCCGCTGACCATAGATTTAAGTTTTTGATTAAATCCAGAAAGTTATGTTTAAAAAGGAGTTTCGGGTTCCTTGTCATATTTATCCCCAGATACTCAAAATAACTAGTTGAAACTGAATGGCAGGTTACTAAGAAAGGCAGTATCCAGACCATCTGAAAGAGGCATAAAAAGACGTTTATCCCAATTCATAGTAAAACCAGAAAACTTGCCAAAGAGAGACTGAAATACACAGCTGTTTTTCAAAAACAGTCTAAAACACGACTTAATCAGTTAATAACTTTTTTCTCATTTCATATCGTTTCTGAACTGTTCGTGCTTTGCTAGAGCGGCGGTGCGATGAGTCGATCTCGGCATTAGGTGACAAACTGAAAGCCGCCAGGAGGCTGAGACCAGCAGGTCCTCCTCTGACTCCTTATCAAAACGTTCATAACTTTATTAAAGAACAACAACAAAAATCAACAAAACGTGTTCAAATTAATGACCCAACAACAATGATAATCTCAGTGATTATTGTTTCAACAAGGTGTTGCGCAATTCTGTGCGTTTCGGTTCCATTACCAAAATAACTAGCACAGCAGGAGTTTAAAATTAACTCATCAACCACCGCTGTGTTCAGGGGAGCGCTTATTAATAATCGCAAAATAAATATCAAGCCTGCAAACCTAATATCATAACGGACTGAATGTTATGTTTTTAAAGTAATCTCTGGTCGGCTTGTGGAGCGCAGGAGGTTGCCATGGCAACGGGTGTGCTTAAATGACAGAGAGTAAAAAGGTGCCAGTGGTTTAGAGTTGATCACCTGTTCAGTTATTTTACCTTTGTTTACCTTTGCTGTGGCTCTTTACACCCGCTGTAGTTTCTGAACATTCAATAAACCACAAACTTGGATTAATTACCTGGTTCTTTGTGAGTATACATCATTTACAACAAACATCAAACACAGTCAATATGTCTCATTAAGTATTTAACAAATGGCTTCTACCGCAAT